CATATGGTACGATTGACTTAGTTTACTCTGTCTGACTTAGTTTACTTAGCATAATACCCAATAGGCCCATCCGTGGGGTTACAGATCTTACAGCTGAGTACTACTAGGTGGTATATACGTACCACTTTTTTATCTATTCATCTGTTGATGGACACTTAGGTTATTTCCATATCTTGGCTATGGTAAATTTTGCTGCAGTTTTTTTTAAAAAATATATTTTACTGATTATTTTAAGAGAGGAAGAGGGAAAGGGATAGAGAGTTAGAAACATTGATGAGAGAGAAATATCGATCAGCTGCCTCTTGCACACCTCCTACTGGGGATATGCCCTCAACCAAGGTACAAGCCCTTGACTGGAATCCAACCTGGGACCTTTCAGTCCTCAGGCCTATGCTCTATCCACTGAGCCAAACCGATTAGGGCCCAGTTTTTTTGTTTTGTTTTGTTTTTTTCTTTCATGAACTATTTTTTTCCATCCCTTTACTTTCAGCCTGTGTGTCCTTTGATTTGAAGGAGTCTCTGGCAGGCAGCATATATAAGGGTCTTGTCTTATCGGTTCAACCAAACTGTCTTTTGATTGGAGCATTTAACCATTTATATTTAAAAATGTTGATAAAGATGTAGTTATTGCCATTTTATTCATATTTTTGATCCTTTTTTTTCTTCTTGAATTCCCTTTAACATTTCTTATATTGGTTTGATGGTTTCATTGAATTTCTTGAGTATCACAAGAGCAGCACTGACATTGAGTTCATAGAAGACACAAAATGTGTGCAAGATCAGTGCTATGAAACTGGCAAATGGCTAGCTATGTTTTGGAGGACTTTGTTCAATGTTGAAGTCATATTATCAGGTGGCCTGTGCATGTTTATTGGCTTCCATTGAACTCCCTTGAGATGTTTATGTTTGATCCTCAGTGCTTTTGTTTGTGACTTGGGCTTGGAGAATTAAATAAAATTGAGTTTATATTTTGTTATTTAGTTCAGCCAAGGTTATTCAACCCATCATTGATTATGTCAAGTCTGAAAAGAAAAAATGTTGACAGTATTTGAATGAATGTCTAACAGATAGTTAAAAGTCATTTTTTCATATTAAGAAGATAAAATTAAGCTCACTAAAATTTTTTATAAGAAATTAAGTTTTTAAAATGTTTTACTTTTGCTGGAGAAATACCATTTTTTGAATGATTTTTAGAAATTACATTGGTATGTTTTTATATAAATTGATAATTTGCATATGTAATCTTAGATACATTACCATTTATATAAGTAAGTCAATTACATTAAAATATATTCAAAATTAAGTTGGAAATTGAAGTTAAATGCTAATAGCAGTATGCAATATTAATAATATGTCTTAGTGAAGGATTATAATTAGTGTTTTAAATAATTATTAATCTCAGACATATTTTACCTTTAATACAGAATTTCCTATATAGAATTAGTCGAATATAAGATTTTCCTATGCAAAATTTGAGACAAAAACAAGAATTTGTGAAAATTTCTGTCCCTTTTGAAAATATCCATGAAGTTAAACTTTTCCTTGAGGAGACATGGAAGTTTTAGGAAATGAAGCTCGTTGGAGAGAGTTTTGATAGGAAAAGCCATTGACTTATCTAAGACTTAGGAGTTTGCTCATGCCATCTGTATATTATGGGAAAGAGAAGATAGTATTTTGTCTAGTATGGATTTGTCATATAAGAATATTATCATTTACAGAATAGCATATTGACATGGTTTTATTACATGTATTTAATAGTTATAAACATAGCCTAAAAGGAGATGTGTGTGTCAATGAGAGCAATATTCAATGCTAATTACCATGACCATTTAGATTAAATGAACATAAGAATTGATAATATTAATTTAATTTTTAGTACTTTAAGTACTGAAATTGAGTGACTGCAATTAAATTTAAAATGTCAAGCCTCAGAGGATCTTAATTTCTAAGAAAATAGTTTTACCAAATTTATATAATAATGTTTGATCTTAGCTAAATAATTCAGGGAAATGTGTAAAATTAAGTTACCTGAGCTGGTTATTGCATGTATGTGGAAGGTATAATTAAAAATGTTTCAATAAGGTCAAACTCTTGATATTTTTTGAAATAATTTTTAAAATATTTTAAAATTAAATTTGTACTTTTATTAAAAAGTAGTACTTAACATAAAGACTCATGTGCTTGAAAATGTAATGTATATTTATTTGTGGGCCCCTTCTAGAGAAAATATGTATGTTGTCAGCCATATTACAGTCAAATCTTATTTGGTAATTGAAGATACCAGTGTTATAGATAAGCAAAATTAACAAAATATACAATCATTTATATTTTTGCAATTAGAGGGATTTATTATTTGTTTCCACTCATTGAAATTATTTGTGTGTCCCTTAAGCATACTCTCACTTAAAAAAGCAAAACTTGTGGCTCAGTGATTGAGCATCAGCCTATGAAACTGGAGGTCACAATTCAATTCCCAGTTAGAGCACATGCCCAGGTTGCAAGTTCGACCCCCCAGTGGGGGGCATGCAGGAGGCAGCTGATCAATGATTCTCTCTCATCATTGTGTTTCTAGCTCTCCCTACCTCTCTGAAATCAATAAATATATTTTTTTAAAAAAGCAAAACTTAAATAACTTAGAAACATGGTCTAAGGGTTACACATGGTCTAAGGGTTAAAGGGGAGCACTGGATTAAATCCTTTATAGAGAATAAACAAAATATTGACCCTTACCTAATATCAAATTACATTGATAATACAAACCTCCATTAAAAATAACATTAAGATTTATATTGTAATGAAATACCAATAAAGTAGTACTTCATCTGTTCACCATTATTACTCTCTTTAAAAATAGCTTGAATTTTTAAAATTATAGTATATATGAGTATAACTTTGGTTTTACAACTTTTAAAACTGTATACTTTGAAAATAAAACATTTTATATTTAGAGGTTGCACTGAATTCAGTTTAACATAAGCCACTGCTTACCTATAAACAAAGTCTACTTAATATAAGTTTAAGTAAAATATGGTTTTAGGTACTAAAAACAAATTTGTTTATTTCTTAACCTTATTTTTGCTCTTATTTGTGAAGATAAGAAATTTATTTTTCTGAATTTTTCAAAGGTATACTGTTTAACTATTTGTATTGGTTACCTAGGGCTACCATAAAAAGCCACCACATACTGGTATGGTAGTTAGTGGCATAAAACAACAGCAGTTCATCACTTAGTTCTAGAGGCCAGAAGTATGATATCAAGGTGATTGCAAGGTTGGTTGCTTCTGGAGGCTCTGAGAGAGAATCCATTCATGCCTCTCTTTTAGCTTCTGGTAGCAGCCAGCAATCCTTGGTTTTCCTTGGATTAGCATTACTCCATTTTCTTTCTTCTTTTTTTAATTGATTTGAAAGAGGAGGGGAAAGTAGAGAGAAACATGGATCAGTTGCCTCCTGTATATGCCCGGACAGGGATCAAACCCGTAACCTAGGTATGTGCCCTGACCTGGAATTAAACCCACAATCTTTTGGTATACAGGATGATGCTCAACCAACCGAGCTACCCAGCCAGGGCTAGCATGACTCCATTTTCTGCCTCCAATTCATACATCTTTACTCTGTGTTAAATCTCCCTCTCCTTTCTTTTATATAGATACCAGTCATTGGATTAAGGGCCTACCCTAAGTCCAAGATGATCTTGCTTCAAGACCATTAATCATATCTGCAAATATTGTATTTCTAATAAGCTCCATTCTTAAGATAGGCATATCTGTCCTAGCCGGTTGGCTCAGAGGATAGAGTGTTGGCCTGTGGACCAAAGGGTTCCAGGTTTGATTCCAGTCAAGGGCACATACCTCGGGGCATGTAACTCGGTTGCAGGCTCCTCCAATGTTTCTCTTTGTTTTCCCTCTCCCACTCTCTAAAATAAATGGAAAAATATCCTTGGGTGAGGATTAAAAAGAAGATAGGCATATCTTTTTGGGGGGGACACAATTTAATCCACTTTAGTATTACAGGATTTTTTTTTTGTATGCTTCAGTTTCTGAAAATGGTTTTACAAGCCATTTTGTGTTGTTTATTAAAATGTAGCAATCATGTTTCGAATACCTGTGACTTGCTGTTAAAAGGGAAATGAAATATTAGGAGCCCTGCTCTGAAATTTTAAATTCTGGAGGACACACAACTAAATTTGAGTTGAAATGTGATAAGTACTATGGAATATTGCTACAAGGTCCCATAAGAATGTAGAATAAACCTAAGAGGCATTAGGGAAGGACTTATTAAAGAGAATCTCATTTGAATTTGGGTTTGAAGGACAATAGGATTTTGACTGGCAAAAATAGGGTGGAATAAGAAACAGCACAAATAAATGGAATTGGGAGGGACAATTCAAGGGTTATAGTTTAGAGAATGTACAGTCTTGGGGAGTTAGGACATGACAATTAAGCAGTATTTGAAAACAGTATATGACTAAAGGTATCCAAATATATGGCATATCCCTGGAGAAAGATTGATTTGGACTGAAGTATTTTTTAAGTTGTATTTTCAAGGATGGATTAACCTGAACAGCAGCTGAAGGAGATAACATCTTGGTTCGGAAGGAGGGAGCAAGGTAAGAATAGGCCTGGAGTTGAGAAGTAACATCTCACCCAATATGTGAGGGCCTGTTGTTAAGACACTTGGGGGGGGGGGGTGTGAAATAGATATGATTGCCTCCTTCATTTAGTGTTTTCTACTGGGAAGATAACTATGTTTAGCTATTTAAAGGGGTCCCAGCGGCAAGAGGATTTAAGGGAAGGGAGAGATTACTTTTACCTGGGGCCTGCATGTAGAGGATGTTTGGGAAAAATGATTTATTAGGGAAGACTTCATGAAGGCATTAGACGACCATGAATGTTATGCATGATTTAGAGGGAAATGATGTAATGCAAAACCAGCTAGGACTAATCTAAATTTAGGTAAACCTGAGGTAGTAGAAGCAGTAGGAATGTTCGGAATACATGGAGATACTTACTGGCGGGGGAGATACCATGATCTTGAAGGTGATTTTCTCAGGGTGAGACACCCATTGTACTCCGGGTGTGCTGACCCCTGTGATTTCTCCAAATGTGGCAAACTCGACTACATAATCTGTGGTAGCGGGGAACTGCATTCGCATTCTCCTGTAAAAGAAAAAAAAAGGAAAAGAATACATATGTTTGGCTAGTTGGTGGGAATATATATCATCCTGTACACCACAAGGTAGCGGGTTCAATTCCTGGTCAGGGCATATACCTAGGTTGTGGTTTTGATTCCTGGTTGGGGCGTTTATGGAAGGCAACCAATTGGTGTTTCTCTGTCCCTTCCTCCCTTCTACCTTTCTTTCTAAAATCAATAAATACATATCCTCAGATGAGGTGGTTTTTTTTTTTAAAAAAACGAGATACGGGGAGAGGACTGAGTAAGGAGGTTTATTTTAAGTTTTGAGGACCTGGGAGGCTAGTGATGTCATTAAATAGAGGAAACAGAAGAGGAGTAGACCTGTTAAGAGAACAGGAAGGAAGATAGGCTTGGTTGAAATAAAACATACTTGGACGTAGAACATGGAATAGAATTGGATTATAGATCAACATACGTTAATAGCTGCAGCCTCTGTCAGGCATTTCCCAGGAGCTTCTGCACTTTATTATTAAAAACTTGCTCATCACCATTTTTTGAGCCAAGACTTAGACCTGAGGGTTCTTCATGGTGGTTCTGTGGCAGGTATGCCGAAAGTTTTCTGTAAAAATGTGAATGTTTCTTTCTTACATGCTACCGTAGTATTAGAATAATTTAGAGCAGATTTAAGGTTATTAGCTGAACCAAAAAAGTATTTTTTTAAAGCATTTGTACCTATATTTATAGTAAGGAACCATTGTCTTGGTTTATTTGAAAGCTTATTCTGAAGCAAAAGCAGTGGGAAGTATTTCCTAGAGACTATTTTATGGTGCTTTCCAGGTAGATACTCTGTTATGGATTCAAAAGTCCATACTGTACTTCAAAGTCGTGTATTAAAAGCAGGTTGTAGCCCTGGCCGGCATGCTCAGCCTGTGCTCCAGAGGATCACTGGTTCAATTCTGGTCAAGGGCACATACCTGGGTTGCAGGTTGGATCCCTGTCCCTGGTTGGGGCATGTGTGGGAGACAGTCAATGGATGTGTTTCTCACATTGATGTTTCTCTCTCTCTCTCTCTCCCCCCCCCCCTTCCTTCCTTGCCACACTCTCTAAAGATCAATGGAAAAAAGATCCTTGGATGAGGATTAACAAAAAAAAAGTTTCATGTAGTTACTGAAATTGACCTTTTAAAATTACAATGTTTACTTTGTTATGGCAGTGGTCAGCAAACCGCGGCTCTTTGGCCCCTTGAGTGTGGCTCTTCCACAAAATACCATGTGCGGGCACGCACGTACAGTGTGATTGAAACTTCGTGGCCCATGCGCAGAAGTCGGTTTTCGGCCTGGGCAAGTCTATTTTGAAGAAGTGGTTGGAAAGTGGGGAGTGTTGGTCGGGCGATGGGAGACGTGCTGCAGGCGGGCAGCGCGGGGGGAAGCGCCCGCGATTCATGCACCAGTTGAGTGAGCCAGTCAGCAGTCTCATTGTGCAGTGGTTAGTGCTAGTCGCGTCCGCAAATCACGCCCGGGTGACAAAAGTACCTTCTCGAAGCATAAAGTTACCTGTATTTTTCCAACCAGCTGCAAATCCTACAGGTATTTTTGTCATCAATTTAAGAATTGTAATTATTTTGTTGGTGGCTTTATTATTATAAAATGAAACTTACCTGCTTAGAGGGGTTTAAATGCCTAACCTTGCTAAATAACTTCTCTCGCTTACTGTTTATTTCCTTTCTTAGCACTCATGACAACTTCAATTATTTGATGTGACTATTTACTTATTTAAAGTTGATCTTCACTAGAATGTAAGTTCCAGAAGGATGTCATGTTATCTCCAGCCTTAGACACATAATAGGCATTCCATAAATATATTAGTGTATTGAGCTCATGTTGTTAATACTAAGTACTCAATCCAAAATTATTAAGTTAATAACAATGTACCTACCTATATAGTTTAAGTTTAAAAAATTTGGCTCTCAAAAGAAATTTCAATCGTTGTACTGTTATCTGTCTCTGTTGACTAATGAGTTTGCTGACCACTGGTCTATGGTATTGAAAAATACAACTTTAGGTTTAGAAAATAGCAAGCACATGCTATAGTGCAGTAATAGAAAAACTTTGAAAACTCAATATTACAATCAACAAGTAAATTGTCCCCTTCATAAGGCAACTGCAATAACTTCCAGTTCTGGTTTTTCTTATAATAGAAATTATTCACATCTGGGATAAAAAATATTCCTTTTCCTCATCTAAACCTAACTTAGAGGAAATAATACTAATTTGTTCCTAAAGTATTGCTTTTCCTCTTAACCTTATATTGTATTTTAGCTGGCAACAAACAGAATTAGTAAAGCAGTTCTAAGAGAATGGAGATGTGGTTTAGAATAAAAGGGCAATTATAAGGAAAGATGTAGGAAGTAGATGAGAAAAATGAGAGGAAGTCATATCAATTATTTTTTCTCCAAAATTAAAAAGCTTTACTATTTCTAATTATGACATAAAAGTATTTCTCACTCAGTGAAAAATTCAGACAACACAGAACTAAAATATTCTGAAAATTTTTTCAGTTCTACAGTCCAGAGAAAATGGTGTATAAGCCCTAGCCTTCTAGACTTTGACTATTTTTTGGTTTGTTTTTTACTGAAAAAGATCATGTTATTTTGAAATTTCACTTTTTACTTAATAATAAACAGTGTGCCTCATCTTTTTCCCAACAAATACTGTCCTAACCACCGGGTGTGGTGGATAGAATAGTCATGTTCTCTGCCTTCAGATTAGGGTCTAATAGAGGATTTATATATGTTAACTAGTAGCCCTGTGCACGAATCTGTGCGCCAGTAGCTTGCTACCGCCCTCCTGTAGCTCCCTCCACACACACATCCCCTCATAGCTTGCTGCCCTGCCCGCTCCTGTAGCTCTCCATGGCCTACTTGTAGCTCGCTGCCCCACCCTCCTGCTGATCCGTGATCCGGTCGTTACGCAGTCGGTCGTTACGTAACGACTATTTGCATATTACATCTTTATTATATAGGATTACGATATGGTGCGATCAGTGCTTTGAAAACGAAGTATAGATGGTACATAAGATGGACACAACCTAAATTTGAGAGATCTTACCAAATTTCCTGGAGCAATGAATGAGAAAGCTGACTTGGAAAAATTAGTAGTTGATAATTCTTGGATGTTATCTCTCTCCAGTTAAACTGTCAACTCTTTAAGGGCAGATTCTTTGCCTTTCTGTTCTCCAAAGGTCAAGGCATAGCAATGTTCAGATTTTTCTTATCCTAAAACATTAAACTTTGTCTTGGGAATATTTAGCTACTATGGGGATATAAAAGTATTGCATCCTGATCTTTGCTTGGGTGCCAAAAAGGAAATACTCTCCTTTGACAATATATGGGATATCTGCATACTATTTTATAGTCTTTCCTTGTTTCCCTGTCTAAACAAACTGGTCTTTGTTCATTCTTTTCTCCTTTGCTATTTGTCCAAGGAATAGTGAAATAGTTGCTGAATGTTTGGTTTTAAACTTATGTCCCTTTGGCATTTAAGAATTTACAGTAGTTTATATTATACTTAACTAGCGGGCCCGGTGCATGAATTTGTGCATGGGTGGGGTCTGGCTGGCCCACCCCGATTGGGGCCAATCAGGCTGGGCTGGCCGGGGGGAGGGGCTGCGGGCAGTTGGCTGGCCGGCCCTGCCCGCTGGTCGAACTCCTGGTTGAACTGGTCAAACTCCTGGTCGAGGGGACAATTTGCATATTAGCCTTTTATTATATAGGATAAGTTGCTTTTCAGTTTCATGTGATATATATTCCTTAATTCTAAGATTCTTTACAGAAAAAAGACTTTGTTACCTTATTGGTGAAGAAAACATTATCCTATGTTTAATATTTTCCATATACCTATATTCCTTGATTATCCACTGAAAAAAGTCAGCATTTGAAAAAATCAAGGATAGCTTCTCCGTTGAGATTCAGAATGATGATTCTGCAACACTTTGCCAATAGGTGTGGACTTCCCAAGGCTGTGTTCATCATAACCTCACTAGTAGACAATATTTTAGAATGTAGCATTGCTTCAAAAAGGGAAAATGTTGACTTTTGAACTTTTCATATTTCATGTAAAAACAATCAGGCTCACTCAACCCTTAAGTTTCCTGAAGAATATAGTGTTTCACTGTTATACTAGTAATTAAGTTCTTAATTAAAGTAATACTGAAAATGATGGTCATTTTTTCACTGAGAATATTTAGGTTTAAATGAAGCTAGAGTTAAATTATACTCATTCCTGGGCTTGTTCAGAAATAATGTATATACCAACATACAATTCATCTGCCCATTTTTGTTTTAAATTTTTATTTTGAAATAATTATAAACTCACAAATAGTCACCAAAAAAATGTACAGGGAGTCCTTTTGTACTCTTCAGTTTCCGCCAATGTAAGATCTTGCATATAGGGAACGGACATCAACCAGAACCACAGGAAGGCTGGCTGAGGAGAGACTCTTCAACTAGAAGGAAAAACAACAGCATTCCGACGCTCAGAGGAGGCGCAGTGTGGAAAATTTAAAGGTACGGTGGTGCGGTGGTGCGGTGGTGCGCGCGCAAAGCGGGCTGGTGGCTGAGGGCGCGGTTGTCGTTTTCAATCAGGAGTGAGTCTCAGACTCTGGGCTACAGATCCGGGCGAGTCTCTAGGGACCCAGACTCAAACGGGAGAAGTGGGACTGTCTGGCTACGGCCCCTCCGAGGTTTGCAGCGGTTGCTGGGACAGAGAGGCAGAGTCCCTGGGGACGGACTGAGAGCAGCCATAGCTGCTCCCTCCCCCCGCCCTGTGAGCCCGCCCCGCCCAAGCCCTGCGCAGAGCCATTTGCCGATCGCTCAGGCAAAGGCTGGATTAGCG